CTCTGCGTTCATCGAGCAATTCTTACGCAACTTTCGAGCTCTTCAAATCTCCCGCGCTCTATATATCTCGCTGAGTGTACGTTAACGCATGAAACACTTGTCGATTTTTCTTAAATCCCTTTCTTAGAGGAGGACCTATATGCCCAACTTTCAATATCGAGCCCTATACTTTTAGGGTTAATCCCCAATGAGCGCCTCTTTTATTTTGTGGAGGATTATTACTTTGGTAAGTGATCAAAGCGTACTCGTACTTTCTAAACCTCATCTCTATCCATGATTGCAGGCCTTCTTGGTAAATTCCTTCGCCAGATGATCAGGCCCTCTAAAATATCCTTCAAACCAACTGGAAACATGTTCCAAAAGACTTCCTCGAACAACACTAAAAATGTAACCATCGCCATACCTTTTATGATAAAAAGGAATACGAACGATCCATGTGAGATTAAAGTGCATCACTCCAAAGGACCAGCCTACATCGCTAAAAGAAATCAGATGCGGCCATTGACACAACTTGGACGGTCGTTTATTAACGGAGGACAGATTATAGGTTTAACACTCATTCTGACGGTTATATCCGGGGTCTTTATGTGGGTATTGGTAAGTGGATGGCGCATTTCAAGTGGTTCAGCCAAAATTTACACAAATTTGCCTCGAAATCGTCTGATTTTTGTACTGCTCTTAGTTGACTGGTTCAAAGGAATTAAATTTGGTAATTCTATCTCTAGGTAGCCCAATTTTGCGGCCGATAAGGTGGTAACATTGACCGACAAATAAATAAGTCGTCGTTTGTCCAGCATTTTGTTTTATAGTGTGAAAAATGAAACATTTCTTTCAACAGGATCGCCACAAGAATCCTGTGGACTTCCCTCCTTCATTCATCAGGGGTTCCTGGCAGGGCTTTTGGTGGGCTTTCGTCACAATGACTACTGTTGGGTAGGTAATATTTTTTACACTTAAATATTGTCATTTTTTTTCTAACTTCCATACTAATGACGTGAAAAAGAAACTATTATAATGATTATCATGATGATATTGAGAATAATAATAAATTGATAATGAAAAGGATGATAAAGATTACGATAATTCTGTACTTATATGAGGTGATGTCTGTAGGTATGGGGACACTTCTCCTAAGTCCGTGCCAGCTCGTTTGTACAGTATTCTGTGGATGTTGTTGGGTATGGTCGCCTTCTCGGTTCTTACAGCCAATTTCACGAGTTCTTTGAATTATGAAATTGAAGAAGACTTGAATCTATTTGGAAAAACGGTAAGTGGTGTCTATTGATCGTTTGGCACATGATTTGCTGAGCAGCATCGGCAGTAAGTTTCTCAAAACGTCTTTTGGGATGCGTGTCTTGAAAAAAGTCAATGGAGTGTCTGAAGAATAGAATCAATATTATTTTTGCGCCCCCGGCTTCAGGTTGCAGTTTTGAATGGAAGTTTGGCGAGGCAAGTGGCGGTGTCAGAAGGGGCAAAATACAAAGGTAGGCAAAGAGGAACTGATATTGTGAATCATATGTGAGTCCAGAAAAAAAAAAAAAGAGGCGAAAAATAGCGCCACAGTCTCACTCGTACCTCTGCATTCAGAATGAATGGCGCTGGATTGAATCAGAGAAAATTAAATCTAAAAATAAAACTCTGCCCTTCGCACCCAATTTCGATTAAATTACCTCATGAACAACGCAAAAATGTAGCTTTTGAAGTGGTTCTTCCTTCCAAAACCTAACCGGCCGAGTTTGACAGGTTCCAGTTGTGATGACCGGTGAATAAGTTCGAAGAAGCGACTATCATCAGAATTCCACCACCACCAAGATAAGGTTTAAAGATGTTTTTCATCGTCTCTCTCTCTTTCAGAATACAAAGACCTAAATGCAATGATCGCTGCACTGATTAAACAGAAAAACCCACCCATAAATGGTTTCTTAATTGATAGACATATGGCTGTAGCAAGTCTGGAGCAACTTAAAAACAACACCCTGGCTATTGGCCGGACTATTGACTACGATTACTACATTGGAATGAGCATAACTCCTCCCTACAACTCAACACAGTTGTGCAACGTGATAAAGAAATGCGCAACGGATGTTCTAAAGAGCAAAGACTTTGAACTAACAGCGTTACAGGTAATGAACACATAAGACTAAAGTAAACCTAGCTTGTCAGTATAGAATCGTTTCGTTCGGTATAGAATTGTTTTTGCCTGAAAAGACAGATAACTTGTTATTTCTTGTAATATACTTTTCCAATCCTTTACGACATTAATAGCATTCATTTCTTATGCAATGGGAGAAATAGAAATGTCGATGAATTTTTCAGAGGTTGGTAGAAAAAGTTCTGCGGATTCTTCCCAAAGTAAACCGAATAACATCCTCCGTTGTTTGATTTTCCTTCCTCCAGGAAAACTTTTCTTATTATCACTTTTTTTCTCCCATTTTTCGTAGATTCTTTCTCATTCAGTTCCTGTGATAGAGACCGTAAAACAGACAGCCAGTTTATTTGAAGATTACGAGTTTCTCATCATTCTACTTGCTTTGTTTGGCATTCTTGTGGGCGGTGGCCTTATCTGGGAATATTTTTATTATAAACCCAAAATGGAGCGAATAAACAAAGTAAACGGTGAGTCTGAGATTAACCATTCTGTTTTTTTCACTTTTTTCACACTTCCATCTATCTTTTTAGAAGAGAGGCCGTGAAGACTTTTGGCAATGGGTGAATGAAAATAGGGAAACAAACTAAAGCTTTGAAGCACAATTATCAGCACGCGATTCGAATAACCTGAGTAATCATGTCTTTTCTCACTTTCGTGTATTCTATATGAGGAAGACTTTGAAATGGAAGGAGATGACGGAAGAAAGGAATCAGAGAGGGCCATCCTGTACACAAATGAAGTTGAAGAAATGTGTGAGGAATGCAAGGCGAAGGTAGAGAACATCATGAAAGAGGAAGGAAAGAAAAGGTGGCAGAGCATGCAGACCATAATAAGTCCGTTGGAAGGGTTTTCAATTATCGGTAGTCAGTTGAGTTCTATCCCTGGTGTTTCATCCATCAGAAGAATTGGTTCAGAGATTCCCCACAATGTTCAAAACTTGACGAGAAAATCAAAAAAGAACAAAAAAGATGGAATGCAACCGTAAAAGCCGACAATTAAAAAAAAAACATTGATATCTTTCCGTATTTCAGTATTTGGAGAGTATGGCTCCGGAATTGTTCCAGGAGACTGGACTAACAACTAAATTCCATGTGATGTTCATAAGGAATTAGTGCATGTGACCAAATGAACTGATTTTTTCCTAAGTAGAGTAGGAGGTTCAAACCATATTGAACACGTCTTGGAGTGTAAACGACCCAAACTTACACATACTGAATGATTTCGCCTGAGCAGATTTATGAACGGCCAAGGGCTGCCATTTAAGCTTTCATAGAACCCGGCGTCTCTTTAGAAATATAGTATAGTATAATATAGTATAATCTAGTGCAGAGAGATCACATTAAGTTCTTGTCCCAATTTTTTGGTCCTAGTTTTCTCAGTTTTCTGAATTCTCCTCTCACCAAATTGCTCTTTAAATTCGTTTTGATACAAATAACTTTTTTCACCTCAAATCCATTTCAAATGATCAACTAACTGTGAGACAATTTTGTCATCCATGTAACTATCTTAAAACTAATGCCTTCAACTAAATATTTTGTTAACGTTTTTCTTATTTAGTAGTTAGAACCGATGCCTTTAGTTAAATATTTTGTTGACGTTTTTTTCTTGTTTAGTAGTGAGTCAATGAAGGTATTTTCTATAACAATACTTTAAATAGTTTATTAGTCTCCACACAGTGGATGGATTACATTTTTCACAGATTTAACAACAGTGACTAAAAGAAAAGACTCTGCATAGCAAACAAATTAGCTTTCTCATAAACGTAAGGGGATTCGTAACAGAGCAGCACTGTCATGGTGTATTCTAGAACTACGATCGTAAGTAGCTATATAATTTTGTTATGCAAATCGTTAAGTGTCCCTGTGGAAATATTGTAAAAAATTTGGTAACAGCTGTAATAAACACGCCATTGACAGACTTAATCTGGGAAAAATACAACGCGACTCGTAAAATAATGTCAGATAATGGAATAAGGTGTATGTATCTAATGGAAACAGCGTAGATGTTTGTGTCTATTATTGACTGGACAGTGTGGATAGTTGTTTATACTGTAGAGAGAAAAATATCCACCGTAGACAGTGTAGCTTAATCTGACCAGTCAAAGTGATCCATAAACTTTTTCTTTGAGTCTCCTTCACACCATCCATCTAAGTATCTAACGACAATATCACATCTGGCAAAACTGAACACAAGCTTTAATCCACCGAGAACTAAATCATCTCACAAAACTTTTGTGCAATCGACCGTACATGAATGACGCATCAAAAGTGTTACACCATTATATAAAATAGAATAATGAAACAGAGGAAGAGGCTGATATTTGCTGTGTATCGGGCTCTTTATCGATAAATGTCGGTCTTTTTTTGCTCACCCTCCCCGGTCCCTAAGACGGCTGTATCACCTGTAAACGGTATTAATATCTACTGGACAGTGTAAATAGTTGTATTTACCGCAGTATGATCCACTTTTGACTGCATCACCTGTAAACGGTATTAATATCTGCCGGACAGTGTAAATAGTTGTATTTACTGTAATATGATCCACTTTTCCTATAGACAGTCTAAGTGTGGTAAACGCAAACTGTTACCGTCCTTGTATTTATTGTAGTATGATCCACTTTTGACTGTATCACCTGTAAACGGTATTAATATCTACTGAACAGTGTAAATAGTTGTATTTACTGTAGTATGATCCACTTTTTCCTGTAGACAGTCTAAGTGTGGTAAACGCAAACTGTTACCGTCCTGGCATGAAGGATAACCCTCACATTGTGGCTAAGGAGACTATAGTTAGTAGGACTGGGAACTACGCTGTGTAACCTAGCTTGCTTAAAATCACCCATGATGCTCTAGGTTATTTGTATTTCAACATGGCGGACGGCATGGATGGTGACTTGGATTCGACTGTGGCGTCAGTTTTGTCCTTAGCAGAGAAAAGCAATAAAGAGAAATATAGATCAATAGAGGTCACAAAGGATGTAGAGCCAGACCTAGATATTGGGAATTTATTAGCTACAGATCTTCAGCCTGTTGATGGACAAGAATTTAGGTGAGTTTACAACCATTAATTTACTTCTTTTGTGCACGTGGAAAATTGGACGGGAAATCTTGAAATGGTTTCAAATTCATCCGTAATCAGAAGAAAAATTTATTTAGGCTTGGCTTTGCTTTTAAAACTCCTGTTCATTTATAGGAAAAATAAAGAGGACTTTCTTAGAAATCTTGCCAGAGATAATACGCAGCTGCTGTTGAATGCTATTTGGAAGGTATTGTATCACGAAATAATCCTATGAAGTTTTTCAGTCATGAATTTACAATTTTGTTGCATGTATGTAATATAACTAGTACGAGGCTGGGTAAAATTTCTGCACAGCCCCATACTATTGTAAAACAAATCTGTTCCCAATGGCAATGTATTGTTTTTGTCACTGTTTTCTCTCTCCAAGAACTGAATGTATAATATAGGATGGGGCTGTGCAGAAATTTTACCCAGGGCTGTCAGGGCTGTTATGAAGGACTTGTCATAGTGTTGTGTAATTTAACATCTAACCAAGTCGACCAAAAATCTAAAATATAAAACGATTAGCTTTATGTACCACAGTATTGTTTGCCTCTACTAGTCTAACTTAGACAACTCTGATCCTGCCTTTGTTCAAATAAACCGGAAAATGCTGTTAATGTATAGAGTTAACTAGCTTTCATGCAAGTTGAAGTTTTCACTCTTTCAATGTGATTCCTTTGCAGCTTCCGCACGAAAGATCTGAAGGAGTTGTTATTGTAAAGGTATGTCCATTTATAACATTCATCCTAGAAGTTGCTATTTTCAATTTCAATTCATAGAATTAGGCTTTTTGTAAAAAATATCTAGCACTTTTAATTTCATCTGTTTTTCACACCTCACATCAACAGAAAGCAAATTTTCTTTTACTTATCAAGGTGCACGAGAGAGGAATTGTTAAACTATTTATTACCTGGAGGGGTAGTGTAATCCTGAATGAGCCATCTTTAATGAGGTCCAATGATAGTTAGACTCTATCATACATGTATATCTATAGCTGACCATGATAGTTGACAACAAGTGAAAACGAAGCTGTTTTGTTTATAGTCAAATGTATTAATTTACATTACTATCAGAATGACATGAAGCACTCATTATGTATTTCTTTTTAATTTTTATTCATGGAAGCTACCTGAGCCATATACGGTTATTCCCAGAGAAAAACCAGTAAGTATGTTAACTAAAAAGTCGTGTGTGTAGGACCAGTAAGCATGTTTAGAGTCATCAGTATGTGTAGGACCAATAAGTATGTTAAACAGTCATGTGTGGGTGTGTGTGTATGTGTATGTGTGACTGGTAACTATGTTTAACAGTCATGTGTACATGCAGGATGTGTAAGTATGTCTAATAGTCATGTGTGTGTGTTATAGGACCGGTAAGTTTGCTAAACAGGCATGTGTGTTTAGGACCAATTCATTAATTTCTAATGATAATTGGAAGCTAGTTAATACTTGCAATCTACCTTTTTTCGTTGTTCCAGTTTATATGTATTATAAGTTCATTTTTTTTTTGGATAATTGTCATCATCTCTTGACTTTTCAGATCCCAAAACCAAAACTGCCCTCAAAATGGGAAGAATTTGCCAAAAGAAAGGTACTGACAAAGAAATCATCCACCTTTGAGTTGTTCTAAATGTTATGTTAATGTTGATATTTTCTTAAGCTTCAAAAGAGTTTAAGCTATTGAGAATCTGGAGGATTTACTCACTGCTAGGAGGCATTATAATATGTCTTGTTTGCACCAGCAGGTTTATGTTTGGAAGTATCACATGCAGTTATGAATAACAAGTGATTTAATTGTTGTCTTACAGGGCATCACAAAAAAGAAACGTGAGAGGATGATTTTAGATAAAAACACTCAAGTTAGTATCAGTTTGTATAATGATTGCAATAAGGGCCAAGTTGATGTACCTTTTCAGCAGTAGTGCATTGATTTCCCATGGACATCTATGTGAAGTTGATTTCATTTTGAAACTGGTGCATAATGTATTCAGTGTTGACAATTCAGATACATCTATTGTGTTGACATAAGGGATAATGAAATTAAATCCAATTCTCAGCAAATTTCAGTGTTTGTGTTTGCAATTTTTATCCTGGAACATTTTCAAGTCTAAATATATACTTTTGTATCTACTTCAACTATAGAGTTGTCTGTTGTACAGGTATCTGTACCTATTTAAATGTATCTTCAGGAATGGAAGCCACGTTTTGGATACAAAAGAGGAAATGATGAAACTCAGGAGTGGCTTTTGGAGGTTCCTCAGAATGCAGGTACTGAGTATCATAAATTCACAAATTTGTGATGGTGACTCCAAAATATTACATGGTTTAGCTTCCTTGTCTTTGTCAAGTTGTCCATGTGTGTAAATAGTGAAGAAGGGGTTTGCAGTCAGGTATGGTTAAAGAAAAATATTGTTCACTGGAGTATCACATTTCTTGGAAAAATTACAAGCAGCACTCAATTTATCCATGGATGAACTGGCCCCAGTGTTCTCTGACCAGACTCCTGATTCCATTTATTGTGAGCAGCCATCACCTTGAAAGAACATGGTTCCCTTCTTTTTCAAACACACTCATTGTTTAGCTCAGTATTGGTGCTCTAATGTAAATTTTAAGAGTAAGAAAAACTTCTATGGAGTGATAGAGACCAATGCTAAAAGTAAGAATTTTAATTTTAGATCCATATGAAGACCAGTTTGAGAAAAAATTTGAAGCAAAGAAGGAAAGAGTTGCTAAGAATGAATACCAAAGGCTGAGAAACATAGCAAGAAACAGAAAGATTTCTGGTCAGTGGAACTGCTCATGGTTTTGTTGTGAAAGCTTACTTTTATTGAATTGTGATGGATGGTGTTTTCTTTCTAAAGATATAATATTATGTCCTTAGTTATGTTCTTTTTGATTATTTGATTCATTTTTTACTAGTTCCAAATAAAGATCTTGCCCCTTCATCTGGACGACAAAGCAAAGAACAGGTAATTTCTTGATTCTGTATGTTTGAAATCCTTTCAAAGTCAACATTTCAACTTCCAAACTTTCATGTGTTAATTTTAGGAGAATAATGGCACTTAAACAAACATGCACATCAAGGATTGTTCTTTTTGTGTTAAAAGTGACTTCTTTTATAATAATTATTTTGGAAGGAAGAAAGAGTGCATATTCTTGGTTCTTTTGGGTTTATGTTGCCTTAAGTGATTTACTAGTGTAAACAAATTTTTTTCAGATCTCAGAAAAGTTAAACATCAGCAGACTCTCTACTGCATCATTGGGAAAATTTACTGAAAAACTGGTAAGAAATTTGTGCAAGAAGCACACTTGAAAGTACAAGTTTGTATCCATACTTAAGTTTATGACAGAGGTATTTGTTATGTCTGACAGTAAACATTGGAAAAAAAAGACTGACCCAGATATCAAAGTTTTAATTGCATTTATTTAATCTTCAGCGTGATGAAAAGATTTCAAGGAAAACTGGAAAGAAGCGAAAGGTAAAGAAATATACTAGCTAATTGATAATTAGGGTAAGACACTACCACTACAATCAGATTCATTGGCATTCTTCTTATGCGGACTCACTCAAAGTGTCATTCTACAGATTATTTGATCTTGTAATTTCACTTTGGTCTCACCAACTGTGAGAAAATTTGCAATAGATACACAGTCATCCCGTTTCTTTGGCCCTTGCGGGGTGCTCCAATTAAATTTTTTGGCCATATCACACAGACTTGCGGTGATGACGTCCCCATTCATGTGTGTTGACCTGAATGGGATTCATCTTACTTGGCTTTCGCCGGAAAAGTATCACAACCAAGATTGTGAAAATGATTTGAATGATTCATCTTACTTGGCTTTAGAGAAGTGTCTCAACCAAGATTGTGAAAATGTAGGTAAGTGACTATCATTGTCCGAATAGATCTTCTTAAATTCCTTGTTGTTGTAATTGCAGTTCGAGCCTGTTGTGGGTGACTTGTCAAATGAACGAAGCCGAAGCAGAGAACTGGCAGAGAAAATAGCCAGAATAGGTCCCCTTGATGTCAATAAGGTAACTGACACGAACATGTGCAAAGCAACAGTAAAGTCACTTTTGAATAAAGATTGCGAATGCATGCAATAATACGGCCCAGTGAAAGCTGATGAGGAAGCAGTGCACGTGGCACGTGGCACGTGGCACGTGGCACGTGGCTGTCAATCCTGCATCGTATTGTTTCCCTAACTGTTACTTTATGTGTCAATGGCCCAATCGCTAAAGCTTGGTTTTCACTAGCAAGCACAAGCGCAAGCACAAGCGCAAGCACAAGCGCAAGTACAAACTCAAGCATAAGGTAATTGTGCCGAGTGAAAACGCCAATAAGGCGGTAGACACTTTAAAGCGTCGAGTTCTGTTGTTTCTTCTACTCATGCGTCGAAGAAACAGAGAGCGGTTACAAAAGAGGAGGAGGAAAAAACGCGTTTGGGTTAGGGATATTTTTAAAGAAAGGTGAAGCCAATGTGATTTTTCAACCACCAAAGTTAGTTCACGCCGCAAGTTTATTATAACTTAAGAGTGGTTTTAACCGAGACCATTTTCTTGCGGTACGGTTTGAAAGTAGTCGTGATCTAGTGCGTGATGATTTTTAGGGAAAAAAAAACCCTGGTACACCTCGTTAATATGATCGGTGCTGGACTTACTGCATCAGAATGAAGCGACAACAACTTAATATCTGTAGTGTCGATATTGTGAAAACCCACAGGACAGACAGAGTCAAAACTCTCAAGGTGTCGCCATCTTTATAAGATGATCCGAAGTGTTCTCTCTACGGAGCCAGGGTCATCATGTGATACAAATATAAATTGTTGAATTGCTTTAACTCTTCCAGGCAGTAAACCAACACATAACAGAAGTACAGAAAAGGTAGGCAAACTGCCACCAGAGTTAAAGTGTAATGTAAAAGAACCGATTTATTTAAGTATCGGTCAAAGGTAACATGACAGTCTCCACTCGAAAATTAAATTAATACTTGAACAGTTAGAGGATCAAGAGTTGAGTACGGAGACTGACCCACGTT